CCCCCCTCACGTCAGTCACTTCCCTTACCCGTCTGGTGATCTCGGTGATGATGAACATGGGGACGTGCGAGATGCCGGGGTCGACGTTGGAATACACCTCCAAAATGGTGCCGTCAGGCCCACACTGTGGACACACATGAATGGAGAGCACACACACACATCATAAAGCCAGCAATCCATCCATCCATCCATCCATTGCTGCAGCAGTTGTGTTGTGTGTTGCTCACAGGTTTGAGGAAGAATAGCAGTGACCGGATGGGCACGCGGGGCATGGCCTTGCCCTCCGGCGGCACGTGCACGCCGTGGAACATGTTGGTCTCCTGGACGACAAGACAGAAAGAGAGACGAGGGTTGCGGTGCAATGCACAGCCCTGCTCTGCTCTGCTCACCTTGTCGACCCATTCGTCAGGGCTGACGCACACCAGAACCAGAGTGTTCTGAAGCGATAACCACACACACACACACACACTCTCACACACGTGGCCGCTTCCGCACTGCTGCTGTGTGTATGTGTGTGTAGTCGTACCAGCTCATCAAGAGCGTCGTTGCCGTAGCCAAAGATGATGGTGTCCCTCTGCAGGCACACGGCACACACACACGGGGTGAAGCATACAGGTGGTTGTTGGTTGGTTGGTTGGTTGATGGATTGAGGTCGCTCACATTGTTGAGCGGCCAGGGCAGCTTATACAGCTGCTGGATCACCTGCGTCACCCGATCCAGACTCTTCAACTGCACACACACACCCGTTGTCACCTTCCAATCTTCGCCCCACGGCAAGTGCAGTGCCTTCTGCCCACTCCACTCACCTTTCTGGCACGGTGGCAGAATGGCGCCCACTGCTCCTGTTTGTCGTTGATGATCTGGACGACGTCGTAGGTGTTCTTGGGAATGAACCCCTTGCAGATCGTCGTCACCGAACGGTCCGGCTCAGGACGGTACCTGACAGACAGACACACAGACACACAGGCAAGCCGCACATGTGTGTGTCGATTGCGGCCCGCCCCCTGACTCACCTCACTCACCTGTAATGAAACTTCCTCTGTTTGTTGCCGATGGACTCGGTCCAGGCGTGAGCGGGCTGAACCGAACGAACGAACCACACCCACACACACAGAGGGAGACACATACAGGCGTGTGTGTCTGACCTGTGTGTCTGTATGTCCCCTTACATATTTCTCCTGCAGTTCCTCGAGTGTGAGGTTGTGCTGCGCCTCTGGCGAGGTCGGCCCTCCCCGAGTGCGCTGTTTGTGCGTTAACCCAAAGCCGCGCTTGTGGTGCCGGTGGCCTCTGCCATGGTGGTGCTGCGGCGACTGTGGGTCGTTAGTTGGTTCTGGCTTGGGGTAGACGGGCTGCTCGTCGGGGTTCTCGGCCAGCCGCAGGATGGGCTCCAGCTGAGACCAGTCGTTGGGGTCGATGTCCACACCCTAGAAGGCACACACACACAGACACAAGCGATGCCGTGTATGTGTGTGTGTGTGTGAGGTTTGTGCACCCACCTTTCTGTTTTCCTCGGTGGGTTCCATGCGCTTCATGAGTTTGTAGTGGTCGACTGACATGTCCCATACCTGAAACTGTACATACGTACACAGAGAAACACACAGACAGACAGATAGACTGACGCATCTGTGCGTCAGTATCTCTCTCTCTGTCTTTCTCTCTCTCTCTCTCTCTCTGTGTGTGTGTGTGTGTGTGCGTGTGGATGGTTCACCCACCTTGCGCTCCGCCAGTTTCAGGATTGGCTCGCTCCTGAAAGTCTCGATCCACTCATTCAACTTGTCCTTCTCAGGCTCCAGCCACTGAGCTCAGTAGATGGATGGGCGGGGTGGACAGCGCACACACAACATGACCACAACACACACAGGGATCCATCCATATGAGCTCTATGTGTCTGTCTGTATGCCATCTGTCTGTTCCCTCCATCCCTCCCACCCACACCCACCCACCCGCTGCTTGTCCGCCAGCGCCTGTGCCCCCTCCTGGTCAACCAACAAACCGACAGACACGACAGACACCATCAGCAGCATCACAATCACACACACGTGCCATGACATGCTGGCCGGCAGGCAGGCACATCGGTGGGTGCTTCAGCGTGCGTGGTCTCACTCACCACTCTCTTGATCAGAAGACCATAAAGTCTATCTGCCGTCAGCCCTTTCTCGGCCTCATAGTGACTCAAAAACTGAATCAAATCACACGCACACACATACACAAGCACAGGGAGTGGAGTGCCGCGGACTGACTGAACCAGTCAGTCCATCCACGAGCAGGCCAGGCCGGTTGGCTGACCTCCTTCTTGATGTCCTCCAGGTGGTTAACCACCTGTCGCGGCGTCAACGACTCCAAGTCGGGCAGCGACGCCAAAAAACCACGCAACGGGTCATTGGCATGTGGCTGCCTGCCGGGCGAATCCCCCACCCCCAGGCCCACTCCCAGCCCCACCCCCGAGCCATCTCGGATGTCCCGGGATGACCCCCGCTCAGTGAAGGTCCCCGACGACTTGCGGCGGACGCGCGAGAAGCACCGGATGAAGCCACCCGTCTCACTGTCGCGCGGGCTGCCGTCGCTCATGGCCTCCAACGGCGCCGTCCTGTCGGCGGCAGCAGGTGAGGCGGGCTCGGCCGCACTGGTCGCCTCCTCTCTCTTGAGCTTGACGGCCTCGGTGTGGAGGAACAAACTGTGGGAAGGCTCCTCTGCCTTGTCGTAGTACTGTGTGTGGGCGGTGCGGTCGAAGTTCTCCTCGCCTGTGTCGGGCGGCGGGCTGTCGTTGTGCACGAACATGGACCAGCACACGCCGGGGCGAGAGTTGGACGAGCTCAGCGATTGGGTGTAGGAGCGGCCGGCGAGGAAGTCCCAGATGGACGCCTGACGAGGGTGAGCCTTTGCCGCCTCGCCGCCTCCTGCTGACGCATCGGCCGCTCTGTCCTTGGCTGGGCGCTTGGATCTCTGCCGCACCTTGGCGGGCGTCATCATCTCCCGGCCCCGCTTGACGAACCGCTGCCAGCCATCCCGGAAGTCCTTGAGGTGGTCTCTTCTCTTGCGCTGCCGCGTCGCGTCGCCCGCTGCCTCCTCTGCGGCCGCGCCAGCGGCCTGGCGGTTTTGCTGCGATGCCTCTAGCCGTCGCATCTCGGGTGTGGATGTGGGCGAGAGCGGGGGGATGACCATGACGGGCGTGGCCTGGGGCGGCTCTTCCTCCTCGACGTTGTCCAGGAAGGTCCCGTTGCTGAGGAGGTCGTCGTCCAATGCCTTGCCGACACCGCCGGCGATGAAGTTCACTCGAGAGGGCGAGAGGGAGGGCTGCGGTGAGGCAGGCTTGGGCGGGGTGGTCTCGTGCGGCGAAGAGGGCAGGCCCCCCTCCTCCAGCAGGTCGTCAAGCCTTCCTGAGTCCAGCAGGCCAGTGAGCTCCACAATGCGCTCCTCTCCCAGCATCAGCAGCTGCGATGGCGGCTCCATGTCATCGAGCCGCAGGTGGGGCTGGTCCTCCTCCCCAGCTGCAGCCACGGCAGCCTCGTCGGCGGGCTCATCGAGTATGTCCTGGTCTGGCAAGCGCTCCAAGGGCACGTTGAATGCCGGTGGCAGGATGGGCGAGTCAGGCAGGGGAAGGGTGAGGCCGATGTCCTCAGAAGGAGGAGACGGTGTGGGCGACGCAATAGGGGCCTTGGGTGGCTGCAGATAGGTCCTTGCCGGCTCAGCGGGCGCCTGGTCCTCAACCAGGGCCTCCTGGACCACCACGGGGTGACTGAAAGCACCACAGACACGCATCGCCCGTCCAGAGGTGCTCAGCCGGCCCCAGCTCCTCTGGGCAGCTGTGGAGCGAGTGGGGGCGGTTTCTGCTGTGTCCAATGCCTCCCCCTGGCTGCATCCCTCCCATCCTCACCTGATTGGCTCGGGGGCTTGCCCGTTTTGTGACGATTTGTCGAGGTCCTTCCCCCGGCCCCTCCGAAAAAGTGACCTCAGCGGCACACAGCGGCACGAAGAAGCCGACTGAGGCATCGCCTGTGTGCCACTCTCGTGCAGTTTGGGGGGTTTCCTTCGCATCATTTTCGTCGTGCGTCTGCGAGCTTAGAATAGGGAGGCGATCAGAGCATTCGGCGGTTCTTTGGGATGAAGTCGTGGCGCCCGAAGGGCCAGAGCGCCGCCGTCTGGCGACCCCGGCAGGAACAGCGGCAGCCAGGGACTTCGCGGCAGGCAGGGAGTGCTGAAGGTGAGATCCCTCCATACGTCCCTTCATCAACCTCGTCGAGCCAACCGGCACCGTCTGAGCATCGAGGCGGGCGCCATGGCCGCGGACAAGGAGGCAGGAGGGACAACCATCGGCCAAACAGGGTCGTCACACCTCCCGCAGCAGGAGAAACAGAGGATCAGGACTTGCCAGCTGGCGGGAGTCAGCTGACAGAGCGGCTGACTCGCCTGCTCAAGAAGGGCAACTACGACTGCATGATCTGCATGGGTCGTGTCGGCAGGTCGGCCGAGGGGTGGGGTGGGTGGAAGAGGAGACAAAACGGCTGTCTGTCTTGGATGTGGTGTGTGTGTGTGTGTGTAGGCACACGGCCATTTGGAGCTGCCCGTCGTGTTTTGCGATGTTCCACCTGCGGTGCATCCACAGCTGGATACGCAAGTCCAACACCGACCACGGCACAGAAACACTCGACTGGCGATGCCCGGCGGTGAGGGAGTGAGTGAGTGCACTCTCGCTTGAGTGTGGCAACAGTCTGACTCCTGGCTGTTGTCCGTGTGTGTGTGATGGTTGGTTGGTTGGTTCGTTGACGTCAGTGTCAGTACATCCACCTGGCTGACAAGCTGCCCCAGTACGAGTGCTTCTGTGGACGGTGCAAGGTTGGTGGGGTGGGTTGGGTGACTAAACCAGCCGAGGAATGGCCACTGCTTGCTGTTGTGCACTGTGTGATGTCTGTCTGTGCACCAGAATCCTCCTCCAGTTGACTTCTCGCAGTGCCCCCATTCGTGCGGCGAGCCGTGCTCCAGGAGGAGGACTCCGGCGTCACAGAGCGGGGCACCACCCAGCACCGGAGGCAACAACGTCGGCGCCTGCCCACACCCATGTAAGCAACGCTGCCGCCGGACATGTCAGATCAGCTGTGTGCGCACTTACACACACACGCTGCCTTGCTGCTCTGCCTTGCTCAGGCCCTCTGATGTACGCAAGCGACAAAGTGGACGCAGAAAGGAACACACGTGCACTGCGTGTTTGTGATGGTGTGGTGAATGGTGTCCAGATGTCACCCTGGACCGTGTCCGCCATGCACTGCGATGGGCCTGGTCATCCGCTGCCACTGCGGCAGGACGGGAGTGCAGAAGCTCTGCGGCGACGTGGAGCCTTTCAGCTGCCGGGAGCAGTGTCGCAAGACCCTCAACTGCGGGATACACCAATGCCAGAAGGTGCGCACGGACGAGAGAGAGAAGAGCACTAGAACAAACACTGCCACATATGTGTGTGTGTAGGAGTGCCATCCGGGTGCGTGTGGGCCGTGTGGCGAGATGGATGAGCAGACGTGTCACTGCGGCAAGGTCACCGAGCCACGGCCATGCCCTGCACCCAAATTCAGCTGCGGAGAGGTCTGCGGCAAGGTGGGTGGGTGGGGGGGTGGGTGACCACCACAACCAACGGCGGCACGCAACAAATGACTGACACGCACTAACGAACGAAGATCTTCCGTCTGTCTGTTGTCTCTTCCTTCCAGCCTCTCGATTGCGGCAAGCACACGTGTCGGCGGACGTGCCATGGCGGGATGTGTTTCCCGTGCCCATGGAGCCCCAGCCGGGTCGTCACCTGCCCGTGCGGCAAGAGGCGACTGACCAGCGATGAGAGGGCGGCACGGGTCGACTGCACGGCCCCCATCCCGACGTGTGGCGAGGTGTGCGGTCGGCTGAGGGAGTGTGGGCACGGCTGCACGGCACTCTGCCATGAGGGCCCTTGCCCTCCCTGCTCATTTGAGGTCAAACAGGTCAGTCACTGAGGGGGTGGAGGGAGGACGCCAGCAGACCAACACAGCACCTGCCATCTCTCTCTCTCTGTGTGTGTGTGTTGGTGTAGGATTGTCGTTGCGGGCGCAAGTCGCGCAGGACGACATGCAGTGAGGCGGAGAAGGGCCCGTACATCTGCAACCTCGAGTGCAAGCGGCGCAAGTCGTGCGGCCGCCACAGGTGCACCGTCGTGTGCTGCCCGGCATACAACACGCCCTCGGACGTGCTCGTTGAGGAACACCTCTGCCTGCTAGTGTGTGGCAAGCCGCTCAGCTGCGGCGTGGAAGGCCATCGGTGCACCAACTTCTGCCACTTGGGGAATTGTCCGCCGTGTCCCATCACCCTTCGCGAGCCGCTGACGTGTGCGTGCGGGCGGACGGCCCTGGAGCCCCCACTCCCCTGCGGCACCAAGCCACCCGACTGCACCCTGCCGTGTACAAAGATTCTTGATTGTGGCCACCAGTGTCAGGTACGAGAAGAATGGGCATGTGGATATTCGACACCTCACGTGACATTTGTTGCTCTGTCGTGTGTGGTGTGTGAACAATGCAGTCGACATGCCACTTCGGCGACTGTCCGCCGTGTGCTGTGTTGACCGAGAAAATGTGCGCCGGGGGCCACGTGGTCAAGCCCAACGTGCCGTGTTTCGTCAGGAGCGAGAAGGTCTCGTGTGGTCGGCTATGCCAGAAGACGCTCGCTTGTGGGAAGCACCAATGCACTCGGACGTGCCACGCGCCGCCCTGCCCGCCCTGCAATCACAAGTGTGGCAAGCTGAGGCTGCACTGCGAACACCTTTGCGAGGCGAGCGAGCGCCACACGTGGGGAGGGAGGCATTGCAAGGTGGTCTGTATGTGTGTGCATGCTTACCATGCAGGCTACGTGTCACGGCAGCTCGCCCTGCCCCGATGTGCCCTGTCCGGTGAAGGTGCAGCTGCAGTGCCGGTGCGGCCATCTCAAGAGGGAGGTGCCGTGTGGCGGCTGCTCAGCCGACCCCAGAAGAGGTCACAGACACCACCAACACACACATACACATACTCACTCGCCGACAGCTATGTGCTGCATTTGACGTTGTCTTGTCAGGTGAGTTGCCGAAGCTGCCGTGCGAGGATGCGTGTGGTGAGGCAGACCGCGCCCGCCGGTTGGCGTCAGCCTTTCGCAAAGACGAGCCAGTGCAGGAGGAGTTCTACGTGGACGATCTGGTGGAGGAAGGGAGATTCTTCCGCCGTTATCTGGAGGGCATCGAGGCCAAGCTCGACATGGTCGTCAAAACGCGCCATTCGGGCATGCACCTGGCCCCCTGCGACGGCCGTCGTCGGCAGTTCATCCAGTCTTATGCGGAGCTGCACTACGGGCTCGCAGTGCACACGGCCAAAGACGGGGACGACAACCATGCCCACCCAGTGGTGATGTTCGATGGAAGGCTGTCGAGGGTACCCAACCCACTTCTGTCAGGTGCGTGCGTGTGGGTGAGAGAGCCACGAGAGCGAGGGCCACGGAGGGAGAAGAAGGAGCCTTCCTTCTGTGTTGACTTGTTGACTCTGCTCAGTGGTTGTTGATCGCACTCCTCCATTGGGCGCCATTGCCCGTCCTCTAACTGGCTTCAAGAAGGTGAGGAAATTGACGGATGGACGTACGTGTTTTGAGCATCCATGTGTGTGCATGTGTGTGGGGCCCTTGTCTGTCCTTGTGTCAACTGCAGAAGAACGTGATTCGGTTCGGCCAGCTGGTTCCACGTATAGTCTTCTTCCACGTGGATCGGCGTACGACAGTCAAGACGCTGAGCGACCTGCTGGAGCCGTTCAGGGGCGACTTGCGGGTCCGGGCAGAGGGCGACACCATGTACGCCGAGTTCCTCGTGCCTTCAGCCGCTCAGGTGGGTACCGTACCGGGGGGGTACGACCCACGCCACGCACACGAACATACCGGCACGCACACCCGAGTTGTGTGTTTCTTTATGTGTGTTCAGGCAGCGATGCGCCACCTGAAGACCAAGTCACACCCGTTCACTAGCCTGCGAGTCGAGGTCGGTCAGATGAATGACACACTCATCTCATCCATTTCGCCACACTGTCTGTATGTGCTTGCTCTGCTCTGCGGTTCTAACTGTCAGATCCCCAGTCTGCCAGCGCAGGCCCCCAGTGCGTCGCCGCAGGCCGCCGAGCCGCCGCCCCCGGACGGGGAGAGTGCAGCGAGGGACGGTGCCACACAAGGGGCGGTGAGGAGTGCGCAGGCAGAGGACAAGAAAGGCGAAAGGCAGACCAGCAGAGACAGAGAGGCCCCACGGGATGAGAGCCCAGCCGTCGAGTCGTGGGAGGATCTATAGCTAGCTAAATGGCTTCTTTTTGTGTCGTTGTGACACACACAGGAGTGTGTGCGTGTGTGTACACACACGAGAGACGCGATTGCGTGTTGTTTGGATCAACCGGCCGAGGAGCATGTGCGTATGATGATTGAGGTCACATGGCGTTTGGTAGAGGCAGATCGACTCGTCTGTCTGTCTGTCCCATTTATCCGCTCATTCACTCAAGCAGTGATCGACGCTCGTCCATGCAGTGCAATGGGATCAACCAGCCCATACTTGTAAACAGCCAGCCTTGCTCTCGTCCAGGCAATCAATCAGAAAGGCCGCCCGCCAGGCACCGTCTGCACCCGACACGCAGCGAGCAGAGAGAGACACAACAAACCCCAGATGCGCTCACACGGAAGCCTTGTGTGCCTTATACATATGACAGACTCGTACGTAGTCGGAGGGACCCCTGGGTCGCGTCCTGCCCGCAGACTTGGCGCGTGAGGAGGATGAAGGGCCGCTAGCTGCGGCACCCGTCAGTCTGCGAGCGGGGCTGGGTGTCTGTGTGGGTGGCAGGGCAACATCGATGGCTCTGCGGCCCTTTCGCCCATTGGCCTTGCTTCGCGGCAGGGGCGAGGCGTCGGCGTCGTCCTCCTCAGTACCAACCGTGGGATACATGCGGGCACCTACAGAGGGAGGGAGGGAGCGAGGGAGGGAGGGAGGGAGGGAGACACGGATACACACGTGATGGTGGCAGTAGTGAGAGACACGGCATGCAGCATTGTGTGCCTGTCCGTTTGGATCGTGAGATGGGCGCGACGTCGATGGTCTCCTGAAGAGCAGACAGCGACTTCTGAAACCTGACGGACAGCCAGACAGGCCCCCGAGGGGGAAGGAGAAACCATCACACGACAAGACATGTCATGTGTGTATGTTGGTGTATGTTGGTTGAGCCCACTCCTCGATCTTCTGCTGCAGCCTGCCGGAGCACACAAGCGGTACACACATTCCATGTGTGGGATGGGTGTGTCTACTACGACCGACCATCCTGCGTACTTGTTTGATGTGTGTGGCGGGCTGTATGGGTAGGGGGGGTAGGATGACGGCTGGTAGGCGGGAGGGGGCATCACGAAGCCAGGAGACGACACGCCAGGCAGGGGGGCTTGGGGCTGTGTGGCGGCGGAGGTGCCCATCTCCTCCTGGGCACGGAGCACCCGCTTCAGCTCGGCGCGCAGCTGGTTGCTGATGTCCATCAGCCTCATGCGATCGCCCTGTACAAGAGACACACAGAGGCGCACACACACACACGAGACAGAGAGAGAGAGAGAGAGAGAGAATGCACACGTGTGTGCGTGTGTGCGCATGTGTGTGTGTGTGTGTCCACATACATGCAGTCGTTCCACTTCTTCCTTGAGGCTGTCCACTTGGTTCCTCAGCTGCTGACACTCAACATTCTTCTCATGCAGCTCCTGCACACAGTGTGGCAGGAGGGAGGGAGGGAGGGAGGAAGGGATGCCTTCGGTGGCAAAGAAAGCCATCCATTGACAGACAGTGTGGCAGCCTACCATGGTTGATAGGCTGTGCTGTTGCGCCTCCAACTGGCGGCGCAGACGCTCACATTCGGCGGTCTTCTCCTGATGTGCACCACGCACGTACGTCTCCAGCCGCGCCTCCCGAGAGGGGCACATTGCTTGCCTTATCTATCTTACCACCAGCTGGCACTGTATCCTGGATTTCTCAGAGAGCATGTCGGCGACCTGCTTCTCCTTGCGGGACAACAAGGCAGCCAAGCGGGCAACCTGACCGATTCATGAGCAAACACAGGGCGATGGATGATGATGGGAAGGCAGCCTAGCCCTCCCTCCCTCCCTCCCTGCCGCCCACTGACTGACTGACTGAGTGACTGACTGACTGACTGACCTCTCCGGTCTGTCCGACAGTGTCCCGATCTCCCAGTTTGGGTGAGGTGATCTTGTCCAGATTCTGCTGGTTGGCGTCCACTACGTAGCGCAACCGCTCGTTGTGCGTCTCCTGCATGTATGCCAGTAGACGGACGGACGACCAAACAGGTGAGCAGCAGACACCAATGTCTGGTTGTGCCTATCTCGCTTCGCTCACGAGGTCTTCAATCCGTCTCCTGAGCTGCACGTTTTCGTCGCGTGCCCTCTGGAGCTCAGCGGCCCTCTCGGCCGCCTGCACCTCCTTGCGGTCGTCGATGGACTTCTGCAGAACGGTGGGGCTCTGCGCCTCGGCGCGTGTCTTGACGTAGGAGCGGAGCGTCTCCAGCTGGGCCTGCAGGGAGACGTTCTCGCTCTTGGCGCGAGACAGCTCACCCTGCAACTCCGTCAGCTGAAAGTCGGCCCTGTGTTAACAGCACAAAGGCCAATCGCTAAAATGCCTGCCACACCATTTATTGTTGTGTGCTTGGCTACTTCTTCAGGTGATCGGTTAGCTGCTCCTTTGATGCGATGGCGGCCAGCCTGTGCTCCTCCGCGTCCCGCCGGGCCGACTCGAGCTGCTGCCGCACTGACATGGCCTCGATGCCCGTCTCCTGCAACGTACGAGCAGCAAGACGACACAGGTAGGTCGATAGCACGAGGGAGGTCGGCGACTTACCTCAAGTTTCTTCTTCATGTCGGGCAAGATCTTGGTTTCCATGTGCTTGAGCTTGCCGATGAGCTCATTCGTCTCCTCATCCTGACACACATGGATGGCTTCATGAGTGGTGAGCATGTTAGGGAACGCCCACCTTTCGCCGATATTCCAAAGCCTCGGCCTCCAGTCGCAGCTGATGCCGCTGGCGCTCGTCATACAACTCCTACGCCCCAACCACACACAACTTACAATAGTCACCTTGAGCCACCCTCCCTCCCTGCTGTGGTGTTTATCTCACGTTCTGCAGCCGGCTCATTTCGTTGCGCATGTCCTGCAGTGCGCTGTGGTGTGCCGCGGTGATTTCGTCGATCTCCTTGCTGTGCTGCTTCTGCACGGCGGACATCTGCCTGTCGCTCTCCAGCCGCACGTTCTGCACCGCCACCTCGTACTCCTCCAGCACCTTCTTCAAGTCGGCCGCGTGGTGGCTTCTCAAGTCGTCGATCTGACCAAAGAGCTCGTCCACAGCCAAGTCGTCGAGAGCGAAGGCAGAACCAAGTCCCCTACTCACTTGTGTGGCGTGCTCCTGCCCCATTTGTGTGAGACGCTTGTGGTTGTCGTCGGCAGACGACCTCAGCGTCTGTGCCTGCTGCTGATGGATGCGCTCCAGCTCCAATGAGTGGCGGCGCTGGGCGTCTGCACACGTGAGGCAATCAGCAGAAGGGGTGCGCTTGAGGCATGTCATGATGTGGCTGTCTGTCATTTCTCCTTCCGTGCCTTAGTTACCCTTGAACTGTGCTTCAGTGGTGTTCAGTTTCTGATGCGATGCCACAACGCTGGCCTCGATGTCCTGCTTCTCACGGGTGAGCTGGTCGAGTGTGCTGCGCAGGTTGGCCACCAACTCGTCAAGCGAGGCACCACGGCGCCGCTCACCACTCAAATCTGAGCGACCGAAAAGAGAGACGTCCGCATGTCATGTGTGTTCAGCCGGGATGCACTGGAAGTGGAGTCTGACCTCGTTCAAGCGTCTCCCGTGCCTCGTCGAGTGATATGCACCGCTGTCGCTCCATGGCCAGGTCGTTGCGGAGCTGAGTGATCTGGTCATTGAGGCGCATCCTCTCCTGCTGGAACTCGTCCACCGTGGTGTTGAGCTTTGCCTCCATCTGCTGCTTGACGCTTTCCTTGTCCTCCTCGGCCTTCATGGTCAGCTGCGCCTTGAGTGTCTGCTTCTCCTCTGTGTCCTTCCGCTTCTCGTCCCACATGCTCTGGCGCAGCTCCTCCTGACTGCTGATGAGGGCCGTGTTGGAGTGACGCTCCTTCTCAAGGTCCTGGTGCGCCTGGTCAAGCAGCCCCTCCAAGCGGCGGATCTCCGCCACGTGCTTCTCCTCCGTCTCACGCATGCGCACAGCAAGGTTCTGAACCTCTATGGACAGCTTGGTGCACGCCTCACGACCCTGAGACAGACAGACGAGGAGTCACAGAGGGAGAAAGAGATGATAGTAGGACGTGGGCTGCACGCCAGCATGTGTCTCCTCCTTTGTGTGTGGGCACCGACACACCACACCACACCACACCAGACCACACCTTTTGTATTTCCTGTGCCTGTTTGTCGTGTGTTTCGTGCATCCGCTGCATGTCCTCCTCGTGGGTACGCTGGTGCTGCGATCCCGCCTCCGTAGCGCGCAACAGCTTGCCCTCGAGGCTCTGGATCTGCAGCGTCTTCTCCTGCAGCTGGCTCTGCGCCTCCTCCAGCCTGTCCTCACACGCCACCCGCTGCTTCCTCTCCTCGCTGAACTGGCCATCCTTCTCGCCCAACTTCCGACGCAGGCTGTCACGCTCGTCCTGCACACATACATAGATGGTCATTATTCATTCATGCCACCCGCAGGCAGGGAGGGAGGGAGGGAGGGGGACCTGGTGCGTGTGTGTGATGTTCCATGCAGCTCAGCTACCTCTGCCTCGTGAAGCTTTTCCTCCAGCGAGTGTGCGCGCTCCTCGGCCGCGTGCCACTTGGCCTCGGTGTTCTGCCACTTGGCTTGGAAGTCTCCGCTCTTCCGTTCCCATTCGTTGCTGTTCTTCTCCCACTGGTGGCTCTTGCCCTCCCACTCGTGGCACTTGTCCTCCCAGGCCCGCGCCTTGTCCTCCCAGTCCTGCCGACTCTCCTCCAGCTGCCCGTTCCTGTCCTCGAGCGCCGCACCATTCTCCTCCAACTCACGAGTCCTCCCCTGCACGCAGCCATCCATCGGGTGAAGCAGTGCTGCTTGTCTCTCTCTTGCTGCCCACCTGCAGCCGCTCGATCTCGTCGTCCCTCTCAGCGAGCGTCTCCTCGAGCTCCTGGATCTGGCTCTGGAACATGCTCTGTTGGCACACACACGGAAAGGCCCAGACAAATGGACCCGCGCCACACATACGCACACGCACACACACACACAACACACGGAGTCCCATTGCAAACAATACCTGCCGCCGCCGCATGACAGACACCATTTCATCGTCTTCCTTCTCTATCATCTGCAGCCAGGCGACAGACAGACGTACACACACATGGAAGACACCGCTGATTGGCGCGAGACTGGGTGCACTCGTACCATGGCAAGTTTCTTTGTGGAGCTGCGGTCCAGTTTGCTGGACCGCCGGCTCGACGGTGTGACACGCGCCGCAGCGGTCGGCGACAGCATCGTCGGCTGCTGCCCTCCCTCGTCTGCAGAGGACGCTGTCCCAACCTGACACACAACGCAACACAAGCCGTCAATTGTGGTCTATGCTGGTCGCTGTGCGTCGGCTGCCGACCCGTGCGAGAGATGGGCGGGTAGGGGAGTGGCTCATTGTGAGTCACACCTCCACGCACACGCAAGACTGAGCCACGCAGCTCCCTGGCGTTTGGAGACGCCCCCAGTTTGCATGTCGGGCGGCACAGGGAGTCAACCACTGCAGTACTCCAGTACTGTCAAGGGCCTAAAGGCTACCCTTCAGCACGAGGGGGAGCCCGGCGTTTGATGCGAGCTCAAATCTGCAAGCTCAGCCCGCACGAAACAAAAGCACGTTGTTCCACAACTGGTGTCCAACATACAGAGAGAGCAAGTCAGATACGGCCCTTTGTCGGTAGGACCGCTTTCCAGTTCCCTGCTGGCCAGATCACACGAGCGGCCTGCCTTGCGTGGCTTTCCTCTGCGCTGGCGCTGTGATGCCGCGTGCAGCCTCTCTGGCCTCGCCCACCGCGTAGCTGTGTGACTTGAGTGGCCGAGGATGGACAAGCTGCTGGATACCATCCGGACGCAGCTGGATGCCTTCCTCTATGGCTTCAGCTCCGACCAGCTCAAAATCAGCCTACTCGCCGGACAAGTCACACTCAGGTGACATAGCAAAACACACACACAAAACCTTTGCCGCACTGACCGACCGACACGGCTGTTTTCACCGGGACTCTCTCTGTTTGGCACCGCTACCTGTGGGTGGTGTGTTGTGCCTTTTGTGTGTGTCGTGGTGTGTGGTGTGTGGTTTCCTTGCTTCCTTCAGGGACTTGGCGTTCAAGCCGGAGCCGGTGAACAAGTTCTTCCTGCAGTGCAGCCTCCCCCTGACGCTCAAGGCCGGCTTCGTGTCGTCGCTGTCGTTCCGCGTGACGTCGATTGTCACGGGCCATGTGGAGGTGGCCATCGACGGGCTGTATGCCGTGGTGGCGCCGACGTGTCAGGTGCTGGGCCGGAGCGAGACATCCACGCACCGCAGCCAGGAGATCAGCCAGCTGGAGCTGCTCCAGACCAGGGGCGGGCGCTCGGACGCCACCAACAGGGCCGCCGACGGGTGTGGTAGTGCAGAGATGGAGGTCATCCGCAACGCCTTCAGGGACTACTTCAGCAAACTCTCACTCAAGCTCACCCGGGCACACATTCGACTAGAGGTCAGTAGCGAACCACAGAGAAGCGGACAGACAGGGGAGCACTGCCAAGGGTCGCCTCACAACGGCCGTCTCTCCTTTGCTGTTTGTCGTGTGTGGTGTGTGTTCTCGACTGCAGTGCGATGATGTCGATGTCAAGGGTTCCTCCTTTGCCTTCGGGCTCGTCATCGAGTCGGCCTACCTCGCACCCACAGCTCCCGCCGAACACCTCATCGTGAGCCACACACCAACCCACACACACCACACAGACACGCAAAGAAAAAGGGCTTGACGTGCTGCTGGTTGCGTGGCGTGAATGTTGCCCTCAGGTGCCAAAGTTCTCCCGCGAGCCTCGGGGCCACCAGCGCGGGCGTATTGTGCGGCTGGGCGGTTCTGGTGGTGTGGAGGAGGGGAGTGAGGACCCCGAGGGTGAGGGCTGGAAAGTGTTTGGTGAGAAGCTGGAGCTGCGTGGCGTGAGTCTCCATTTCCACCACATGTGCCCGCTGTACGTGCCCTGGTCGCTCTACGAAGCTACCGCACAGGAACCCAACGGGGTATGTAAACCAAACACTGAACCGAATCGACACACACAACAACCCCTGTTGGCTTACCACCGGACCGGCCTCATCAATCTGCCTGTGTATGATGGTTGTGTGTATGGCGTGGCTGTCAGATCTTCGCCGCCATTGAGGCGTCCGAGATAGTGTCGCTGTTCCACACGGACTGGCCCGAGGGTCAGTCACTTGCCCAGCGACCCTTCACGCAGCCCCCTGCCAACTCCAACCGCCCCGGCAGCCCCTCCCCCTCCCTCCCCCCTCCCCTCCTGCCATGTCACCTCGGCTGCGTCGATGCAGAGGAGGACCCCATGAGGAACGCATCCAGTCGGCGGGCGACGTTCGACCGGCGGCCGGCAGTGATGGTGCTGCCGTTGTGGGTGCAGCTGCACGCCCAGCTCAACACCATCCCCGCCCACATGGCCAAGGACCGCCCCCCGCCCCCTGCATACCCCGCCAACCCACACGTGCGCGAGGGACGCGCCAAGGAGGCCGACAGGGACCTAGAGTACAACAGCGTCAACCTCTCCTTCCGGGTGCAGCCCGACACTTCTGCGCCGGTCCTCCCTGCGGCCACCCAGGGCAGCAGGAACAGCTTCTACGGCGTGTGGCCGGCTGCACAGTCGCAGGAGGGGCAGGGAGGCGGCTGTCCCGACGGTTTTACCTGCCCGCCCGTGCTGGCGAGGCTGCCCGTCGACCTCTCGACCAATCAGGAGGTCCTCAAGGCCATCCGTTTCCTGGAACAAAGGTGAGCGAGGAAGGGCAGACAGACAGACAGACAGACATGGAGGCAGGCGGGCGGGCGGACAGAAGCATGATCAGGGTGGCATGGCACATTGTGTGTATGTCGGTCGCTTGGGGTGGTTCAGGATGTCGAGTTTCCAGTTGTGGCACTACCTGCACGGCCGCAGCTCGCTGTACCCCAACGAGGCCGACAGCCCGTACACGGCCCTCCCCCACCACGTGTCCTTCCCCTCACACAACACCCACTTCCCCCCTCCACACACTCACACCCCTTCACGGCCCTCCTTCTCACCCCCCGTGCCCACCAGACACCTCCACGACCACCAGCAGCCGCACCACTACCACCACCACCACCAGAGCGGCATCCTCCCTCCCGGCGGCCCCATGGCCTTCAGCCAGCCCCTCATGCCAGCCATGGAGGGGTGCCACCACTTCTACCACCCGCAGGACAACCCCCTCAACCTCAGCAGCAGCAAGCTTAGGTGGCGGCGGGTGCGGGAGTTCTTCAGGCTGCAGCGATACCTACGGAGGGCGCCCATCACGTGAGCTGAGCGAGCAGAAGAACCTGCCTGGCAAAGGGAGACAGACAGACCTCCAGACGGCCTTGTGTGTGTATGGTGTGGTGTGCAGGTTGCGCGAGGGTCTGGCGATGCGGATTCACTGCAAGCGGTACATAGCGGTGTACAAGCGCAAGTTCGACGGGCCTGAGTCAATCTGCAGCTGGAGGCGCAACTTCCCACCCATCGACCGAGTCGCACAACACATTCTCACAGGTCAGACAGCTGACAAGCAGCCTTTCCACACAACACAGCAGAGGAACAAGACGGAAACCGCGCTCTGTGTGTTGGTTGGATGGATGGATGGATGGCTTGCAGACATAGAGTTGGAGTACCGGCCCGAGCAGATCTTGCTGTGGCGGCTGATGGCGCACATCGAGCTGAGGATGGAGATGCAACTCAATAACGCGGCGCTCTCCAGCCCCTCAAGCAAAGACGGCACTGGGTCGGTCAGCTCGCCACCGTCTCGCTCGACACACAAACACGCGCCCACTCATGGTCTGTCTGTTCGCCTTTTTTTTGTGTTGTATTTGTGTGCGCAGGGAATCGTGGTCGCTTCGCCTGCCGGGTAGCCCCAAGTCTGTGGGTCGCAACCCCGGTGCGGGCCCTCGGCTGCTGACGCAGGAGGAGATCTACCACCTGCACGAGAACTACCAGCACATCTTCAACTCCCCCCCGGCTCCCCCGCCACACAACGTCATCTTCATGGTCAAGTGGGACCTCCTCTTCGCCGCCGGACTCAGATGGCGGCACAGGCTGCCCCGCCCGCCGCCCCCATACCACCCGCCATCCACCACACACACCGACACCGCACACACAGACGACGCCAAGAACGCCTCCCTGGCGCAGGGCGCGGCGGTACTCTTTCCGTCAGTGGCGGGCAGCGAGGCCACCCTGGCCCTCGAGGTCTTCTCCCCGCTGCACCTCCGCATCACCGACACCCCCGCAGAGTACTGCTCGTCGTTCGTCATGGAGTGCGACGGCATGACCATCCCCCCGCCCTCCCCGCAGCAGCCCGACCCCTACCACGACCTACGGACCTTCTCGGCAGCCACCGGAAGGTTCGTCCCGGTGCTGTCCCAGTGCAGCAGCGGCAGCGGCAGCCGGGCGGGCGCCGAGGTGTCGGTGGGCGGCGTGCCGGCAGTGAGGCTGACCTGCCATGTGGCCCGCAGTGACGGCGCGTGGCTGAGCGGCCACTCGCCAGTGGGGTCTGTGGCGGGCCCGCCCGACGGGCCTGTGAGCATCCCGGTGGCGGAGCTGGATGGCTTGGTGTTCGCCTATCTGCAGCTGCTGATGACGCCGGGGTCCTCATGGAACTGCTACCCGTGGGAAGGGTACCTCCACGCCCTCCTGGGGGAGCGCCTGCTGGTGCCCGTCCACCCTGACGGCACGCACCAGGTGGCCTTGTGGCTCATGAGCCTGGGCCTGCAGGAGCTCAGACACGCCTACGAGACGCCCAACGGCGGGGCGCCCCCCAGCGTTCCTTGCTCATCGCTGCCCGACCTGCTGTGGAAGACGCTGAGGGGCGGCATGTGGTCCCCTCTGCGGGTCAACTGCATCCTGCCCACCACCTGTCTGGCCCTCCTGCCCCCGCCCGCACACAAGCATGACGATGAAGGTGAGCAGGCCGTGGAGCTGTCGGCCTTTCTGCAGCAGCAGCTGCGGGCCACCGACCTGCGGCTGGAGATTGAGGGCGGGAGGGCACTGATGCGCCCGATCTTCCTGCCCAGCCTGGAGGTGGCCGTCACCCTCACGGCTCACGACTTCGACGGCTGGCTGTCGGGGCTGTTCGACCTTCGCAGCTTCGCATCGATGTGCGACCTGCCGCTCATCTGGGAGACCGCCAAGCCGTCCGCCACCCCACTGGTCTTCTCGTTTGCCACGCTCCTCGCCGCAGCCACGGGGGCCGTCATGGAGGACACATCGAATGCTGCACACGAGAGCTCCCACAACAAGCACAGGGGCACCAGGCTACGACCCCTGCCGCAGGCCGCAGACCAGCTGCACCTTGGGTCATCCTCCTCTACCCACCAGATGGCAGCCGCCTCGCCCCTGCGGCAGCTGATGACGCAGCTGGCCTTGATGGACACCCTGGAGAGCCGGCGGCGGGGCTGTGTGGCCGTGGGCCTCCCGTCCACCCACCTGAACCCTTCCAGTCCCCTGCTGGACCCCATGAGCCAGCGGTCCCCCAGCTGCCCACCTTCACCAGGACATGACGACATCATGTCCGAGGCGGGGGGCTCAGACGAAGGGCCCGAGTCGGCCAACGTGAGCATTAGCGCGCTGGGCGGCGAGGGGCCTCTGATCCCTCGAGTGGCGGGCAGTGCGGTGCCGAAGCTCTACCGCTACAACGCCGGCGGTCGTTCAAAGACACCGGGCACCCCGAGGGCCGGGCGGAATATGGAGGAGTCGACACGCAAGGGGCCCGCGGAGGCCAGTGCGGAGCGGTGTCCCGTGACGCTGCTGGTGCTGCTGACGGTGTCGTGGGCCCGACGGGTGCTCATGGACTGCTACCTGCCCTCGCCATTGCAGAAGCAGCGGAGAGCCAGGGGGGCGGGGGCGGGTGCGGACGGGGGCGAAGAGAGTGGTGTGTCTAGAGACGAGGGGCTGCTTGGGCTCGGTGGCTTCGGCCAGCTGGCGGCGTCCTTCCAGCAGGTCCTCAATTCGAGAGGCAGCACGGACGTCGCTGCCAGGACCCTCGTCACGGAGCTGTACACCTTCTGCGGAGCGGTGAGTGAGGACACCACAGCACACTGACTGCACAAACAAACCACACAGAGACAGACAGAAGTGACCTTCCTGTCGCGTGTGCACCAACTATGTGTGTGCAGGTGACGCGTCAGCTGTTGGCGGCTGACTTGGGTGGTCAGGCCATCCCGACGGCAGCGCCAGCCTCAGGGGCGGCTGCTGCCGACGGCTCCCCGTGCTCACCTGCTACTGAGGCTGCTGCTGGTGGTGGATGTGGCAATGGCGGCGATCCCCCGCTGCGGCTGACTGTCTTGTCGCTCGCCGCATGGGCCGGCATCACGCCCGTCATCGAGGCGTTCGAACAGCACATACCGGTACGTATCACAAAATGAATGATGCGATGCCTGCTATACGTCAAGGTATATTGGGGCGCGTGCGCGTGTGTGTGTGTGTGTGTGTGCAGGGTTTGGCGGTGGGTACGCTGCGTGACGCGTGTGGGATGACTCTGTTGATGTGGGCGGCGCGCGGGAGTTTCTGCAACTCTGAGGCCATCAACCTCAAGCTCGTGCGCTACCTAATTCGAAAGGGCGCTAAGCCCGGCGGTACAGGTACGTGTCTGTCTCGCTCACTCCCTCCCATACACCCCTGCAACGAACACGCGGCGCTTATCGATATATGTCTTACTCATGTCGGTGTGTCTGACGTTCTGATGTGCAGATTCGTTCGGCCGTACGAGTCTCCACTGGGCGTGTCTGAGTGGTGCGGCCCAGATCGCCGCCCACCTCCTGCAGACAAACGGCACAGACGCCGTCAAACTCAACCAAAGGGTCAGTCAGTCAGGCGGGCAGAGCAGACAGAAATCACGCCAGCAACACTCCCCGTCACGCACCCACCCTGCAAACCTGCATTCCTTCTGTGTGTGACCGCGTGTTGAAACAAACAGGACCGCATGGGTTACTCCCCTCTGGCCTTCGCCATCATGTCGCAAAGTCGGCCCCTGGTGTCCCTGCTCCTCAACTGCGGCGCCGACCCCATCGTACCCCCCCTGCGCGCCGCCCTCAAACCCAAGCAGGGGTCCACACAGACACAGACACCCTCACCCGACAGACAGCCCATCAGCGGAGGGGCAGGGGCAGGAGGAGGCGGTGCGGCGCTGACGGCCACGGACCTGTCATTCCGGCCGCTGAAAGCGGCGGTGAGGGTGGGGGCATTCGACGTGGCGGCCTGTCTCCTGCAGGAGGCACCCTTCATCGACGTCCCGCAGGCACTGGGCGTGGCTTCGCTCACCACCGCACACCAAAGCGCACCCAACGGGCCGCTGCTGGCATCTGTGCCCAGGCGGGCCACAGCAGGGGCAGCATCCTCCCCCACGGCACGCGGCAGCGAGCGGTCGGTTGACGTGGCGCACGTGACGACTCAGGCTGTGCTGGATGCGATACGTGCGCTGCCGGCCATCCTGGAGGACCCCAGCCCGCCTCGCAGCCCCTACTCCAACGTGACCAACCTCCGGCCAGACGCGCCCCAGTGGACGGCTTCCTACACCTCCACGGCTGTGTCCGCCCCTGGCGCATACAACACCAACAGCAGCAACCCCGTGGCGCTGCTCAACTCGCCCCAGCTCTATGAGCACTTCATCAACGGGCCGGACCGCCCCGTTGGCGGCGGCGGCGGTGGTGGTGGGGAGCACGGGATGCCGGGCGACGTAAGGAACAGGAGCATCTCCCCGCCCATGCAGGTCTCGGTCGACCCCATATTCGGCGAGATGCCCACGCCCACACCCACAGCCAGCTACAGGTACGTACACAAACGAACGACACAGCAACACCACACATCGCACCAGCCAGCTGTCGAGAGTGATGGGATGTCTCTCTCCTGTGTGTCAGGCTGGGGTGGGAGATGAAGGGCGGCTTCAAGGGCACGGCCGACGAGGGCGTGGGCGGCCTCCGGCACCCCGACATCGGGCTCCTCCGCCCGCCACTCTTCCGAACCGTCGCGGCATCCCTCCTGTCGCCCTTCTGTCACGTCATCAAGACACCGCGGCCCGACTGCCCTCTCAATGTCGACCTCTCGGCAGCCATGCTCATGCTGCAACGGTCATTCGGCTTCGAGCGGGCCAAGGCCAGCAGCGGCAGCATCAAGGGAGCCGCGAACGTGCCGTCGTCCGCAGCTGTGGATCTGTATCAGGCGCTCGATGAGCAGCGGTTTGCGGGCCTGATGGAGTGCCTGGCGGTGCTGAATGACCGGCACCTTATGTGTCATGAGACCATGCACACCTACCTGAGGGAGCAGAGGGAACAGCAAAACTACAAAGACATCGTGAGGGAGGGAGCAACACAGCACACACCTCAGCTCACACAAACAAAAGAGCTCAGCAAGCTTGATTTGATGATGATGGGGGGGTGCACCTGACCAACTTTCTCTCTCTGTTCATTCAGGTGTTGGAGGCGTTGCGGCAGCTGCGGCAGCAGGGCCGGCTGAGCCTGCTGGACGGCTGCTCTCCTCTGCGTGAGCACCACCACCATTCCCACTTCCCCCGCGACACAAACGCCGCCGCCACTACCGCAACCACGCACCGCCACCCGCACGGCACCAACAGCAGCAGCAGGGAGAGAAACAAGACATCCAGCAGCAGCAGCAACTTGGAGCTGCCCCCGCTGCGGGACACTGTGGTGACGGGCAGCTTCGGACTCACCCCCAAGTCGTACCAGCAGCGGGACGCAGAGGGACACCGGGGACCTCCACAGACACACCGGCACGCCGCATTGGGTGCTGGTGGTGGGGCGAGCGCTCGCTTCATTGTGGTGGGCCCGCCACGTGTGGGCAAGTCCACAGTGGCCAAGTGGCTGGTCGACAACCTGCATGGCATCGACGGCAAGGGCACCGCCACCACCAGCCGCGAGGGTGGTTACCCAGACACCCACACAGAGGCCCACCTTGAGGGCGGGGTGAAGGTGCATCATGTCCGTTTGTCCGAGGAGGCCATCCACCACCCTCGCTTCCACACGTCCCTCTTCCACCGCAAACCCACCTGCCACGGCGGCAACAGGCACACCAACCACCCGAGCACCAACACCAAGGCCGTCAACGTCACCGTCATTGACTGCCCCGCCTTCTGCGACTTCATACCCGTCATGGGCCCCATCCTCTTCCAGACAGCCGACGCGAGCACAGCCCCCTACGTGCAGCCGTCGCACCACAAGGAGGATGGGCACTCGGGGGATGCGCCGGCATGGCCCTTCGACCACTCGTTCCGGCTGCGGCGGGAGGCGTGTGGTCGGGTGGTGGTGATTGTGGTGCTCGATGGCGACACAGATGGAGGAGACGACTATGTACGCATGGTCTGCGACCGAGTGGCGCCCGGCCGACACGGGGCCCAGGTGGTGGTGGTCCGCAACACCAGACGCGAGTCGGCCACTCCCCGGGTCACCACGATGCCGTCGCCTGTCGACCCCTCACAGACACCCGCTCCGCCCGCTGCGCCGTCAACACACAGCCCGCCCTCCCCTTTTCTGAACAAGGTGGGCGGCAACTCGCTGGAGGTGTGGCAGGGCAACTTCGCCGAGCTGGGCGAGGTGGTCTCTTCTCACAACGGCACACCTGGCAAGACCAGGCGGACCAAGGACAAGGAGGCCGTGCTCATCAAGCAGGTCGTGACGGTCCTGCGAGGCAGCTCCAGCGAGGAGCAGCCCTACACGACCCACCACATGGTGCCCACGGCTCCCCCTTGCTACAACCCCGCCACGCTGATCGGCCCTGTGCGGGTCCTGACGTCCAGCCAGAGCTACCTGGCCCCCACACACTCAGGGGTGGTGTCCACACGGCCCCTCCTGCGATGTCTGGGTGGCAGCGACCACTCGTCATCATCATCGCCCACCGGGTTCCGCGGGCCCCTCACCGACCTCATCAATGCGGGCGTCGTGGTGCCCCTCTCGAGCGTCTTTGTCGCCCCTCGCGGCAGCGTCGGAGGGCGGGATGTGTCTCGGCCAGGGGAACAGTGGGTGGTGCCCCAGTTCGCCAGCCTGTTGCCGCCCTCTCACCCGTTGCTTCCAAGGCTTCAGGTGGCGGCCGCCAGCACCAGCACCAACACCAGTACGGGCAGCTCTCCCCCGCCAGCAGCCCAAGAAGGCATGCACGTCAAGCTGCAGTACCCCCTCAGCTGCTCGGCCATGCGCCTTAGTAGCGTCGTCAAGCGGCTCCTCGCCGCCATGCAGACCGTCCCGGGCTTCTCTCTCGTCCAGTTCGCTCGTGTGGGCGAGGAGGTGTCGATGGGCCTCGATGACCGGCAGTCGGGATTCTTCGTGAGCTTCTACACCCATCACACCTACTCGCCCGGTGTTTCGGCGATGTCTCGGCAGGGGCAGGGGCAGGGACAGGCTGAGGCGGGCCGTACAGTGTGGAGGGTCGGCGAGCAGGCGTCGTGTGCCGCGTCCTCGGCGGGCGGCGACGGGATGGATGGCGATGTGGGAATGGCCATCGCACTGTCGGCCGAGAAATTCATCGAGGAGAAACTCATGGTGGGTGTGTCACAGGCAGGCAGGACCATTGATGGAGAGCAAGGAAGACCTTCATGCGTGTGTATCTGTGTCTTGTTTGTCATCAGGAGCGCAAGGGCAGCCGCGGCAGCTCTCCCAGCCACGGAGCAGCAGCAGCCAATCAGCGGCAACCACCACCACCACCACCACAAACAACACCCCAACCACCCGCCGCCCCGGCCCCTGCAGCAGCACCGACACCCGACACACAGGCGCGCCACGTCACGGCCCCCAACGCATCCTTCACGCTGGACGTCCACTCACCGTCCAACGCCACCCTGATGGAGATCTTGGAGCGGCCCATCGCCGCCATGGTGTCCAAGGGCTCCACACACACCAGCTCAAACACACCGGTGTGTACGCCAATCACCTCTGCGGTGGCCCACAAGGACGGCGATCACGGCAACGGCAGCAGGAGGGTGGGGCCCGTGCTGAGTGGCGCGGCCAGCACCACCAGCAGCGCGCCCGATGACGACCTGACGGCCGTGTGGGTGGCCAGTCGGAGTGGGGCTGGCGAGAGCCGGGAGCTGGAGATGCATGCCGTGGGGCCTGCGGCGGGGCTCGCCATTCGGGCTCTCGTCGGCACTGACACCCTGAGGCCCACAGCGGTCAGTAGCGATTCGTCTCGCCTCCCGCCGTCTCGCACCAAAGTCACTGTCTGTGTGTGTTGGGTGTGGTGTTGTGTGCAGGCGTCCTACCGCGTGGCGACATCGTCTGGCGGCGCCGAGTGGCTGTCACAGTCCCAGCTGATCGAGTCTCTGCAAAGGAAGCAGCTGGCTGCCCCGGCGTCGGCCATCGAGGCCCTGCTGCTGGCCTACAGCTGGATCACCATGACCATCCCCCAAGTCAAGAAGCCCGATGAGTCGCCCCCGACCCGCCCGCAGGCCTTGCAGCACTCCTCCACACAGTCGCCGCAGTCACCGAGCCGCCGGCGCAGCGGCAGGAGATTGGGTGAAAGAGGCTGTCACGGTGACCAGCCCGCCACACACCGGTGGCCCATCTCCCCCGACGCCCTGCCCCTTCTCATCTCCACCCCCACAGTGCCGTCATGTCTGCCCAATGAAGTCCCGCCCTACCTGCCGAGCGAGGCCATCAAGGACCCACAGCGTACGGAGCATGGCATCGTCGGCAGCCCGACAGCAGCGGGCAGAGGAGAAGAGGCCAAATCGTCCGTTGTGGCGGCTAACTCCCCCATACCCATGGGGGTGCATCCGCCATCCGTCGACGGGCAGCTGAATGGCCTCCCCCCGTCGACAAGGGACAAGCCGTCGTCCGGTGAGGTCTACAGCAAGGTGGTGTCGCCTCCGACGCTGCCCATCAACAAGAAGGCGGCGACAGCGCCGTGCCCCATCCCCAAGGCCCACCATCCCCCCAGCCCCCGCCCCTTCTCCCAGCGGCTGCTGGGCATGCTGTGCGGCCTCTTCCAGTGCGGCCGCAACAGCATCACCCACTCTGACCTCCACCACGGCACCACCCTCAAGAAGGTCAGGCGGGGCGCGGGAGTGGACGGCAGTGAGGAGGAGGGCGACGAGAAGGTCAGCACGGCCAAGTCAGGAGGCACCACCGCCACCACCAGCAGCGAGGGCACCAGCACCACAGGCGGAAGCGGGCACAACAGCCGGGGCAGCCGCAGCCGGAGCGACGACAGGCGTCCCGCGCCGCTCGTCGTGGTGCACACCCACAAGGGCAGCGGGCCGACCGGCGAGAGGGCCCTGTCGGGTCGGAAAGACTTGAAGCCAGGTGACGGCGACATGGAGGTCATCGACGTGGAGACCGACCTCGGCATGGACACCGAGAACGAGACGGAGGAGAGCCCCTTCCCCGCCCCCTCACAGGGCGTGTCGTACCACCAGCCCACCACCGACAGCATGTCATCTGACATAGGAGTGGGGCCCAACAGGGACCAGGGTCAGCAAGGGGGCCAGGCAGGGGCCGGTCTGCCTGTCGTCAGGGACCACCCGGCGCAGAGCGAGTACGGGCCCCTGCTGCCTTGTGGGGCGCTCTCTCTCCCAGAGGAGCTGCAGTGCTACGCCTATGTCGAACAGAGCCGGCTCCGGGCGCTCTCGGCAAAGAAGACCCCTACCAGTACCAGCAGCAGCAAGGCCGGTGTGAGGGAGAGGGAGAGGTGCACTGGCAGCCAGTCAGCCGAGGACTACCTCTCGAGCCTTGTAAGGCTAGGCATGGTGGCCAAGACCCCTCCCGCAGCGCCCTCTCCGTCGCCCCCCATGTGCCAGAGCATGGTGGCCTTCAACCTCCTGAGGTCCATCCGCGTGAGCCAGCTGGAGAGCCACTCCACATGGGCCCACCTGCCCGTGCTGCTGCCCGTCGACCCTGTCGGCCTGGCGCGTCGCGTGCGTGAGGCGGTGCAGGACGGGGCGGTGACGCGTGTGCCGGTGCGGTGGGAGTGGCCGTGTCGGTGCGTCTGTGAGGCCCTCGAGGGGCCACACCTCTGCCACACACAAGGTGGGGGGGTGCGAACAGCACACAGACGAGATCCATCCTTGCACCGTGTGGGACTGTGTGTGCTCCATTCAGTCAAGGTCGAGATCGTGGTGGGCCATCACCGGAGGGCCCCTGCACACACGTCAGACGTGCCGGCAGGCGGGGCGACCGATGGCTGTGTGGGGCGAGAGGCGCCGTCCGTCGAGAGCGGCAGCGGCCACACACACCACACACATACACATACACACCCCGCCCACCATCCTGTGCCGCCGGCGGAGACCGAAGAGCCCCTCGCAAGAGCATGGGGGCTCAACCTACTGCTGGTGAGGAGACAGCACCGCACAGCCATTGATGCTATGATGCGATGCCTATCGGTGTGTGTATCGTTTCCGGCATGTGCTGTGCTGTGCTGTGTGCAGTGTGGTGAGGCTCGTCGGTTGGGGCCGTGGCCGATAGAGGGCAGCCCCAGGCTGGTCGCCACACCCGCACTACTCAACGCAATCGCTGAAGGTCAGCCAGCCAGCCAGCCAGCCAGGCGGCAATTAAGGCAGGCAGCACGGCAAGCGTCAAGCGTCACCCACCGTACTTGTGTGCGTCTGTCTGTGTGCCCCCCAGATGTGTGCATCCGGAGGACGGTTGGTGGCTGGCTGTGCGACGACGGTCATCTGAGGGGCGTGGCGCCCCATGTTGTGGCGGGAGGGATAATGGGAGGGGGGATACTTACTGTGTGAGTAAATGAATGGGGGCTGTGGTTGGTTGGTGTGGTGCTGTGTGTGTGAGTGTGAGTGTGAGTGTGTGTGTGGTGTGGTGTGGCTAACGTAAGGGGTGTGTATCATCCGTCCAGTCCAGCTGCCTGCCTGTCTGTCTGTCTAGCATGCAAAATACGTACGTACAGACAGACATACATACATTTATGTCATGTGCGTCTGCCTGTCTGCCTGTCTGTCTGCCTGTCGGTCGGTCGGTCGGTCGGTCGGTCGAACCGCTTTCTCACCCCCCCACTGACTCAGTCACTCAGTCACCTCACCCACCCACTCCCCGCCAAGCAGCCAGCCGAGCCAGCCACTGACATACACCTGCACGTACGTCTGTATAAAATGGATACATATATACACATACACACACATACGTACACACATACATACATACGATCGCATGCAGGCAGGCATTTATGCTATCACTCCAGCCAGCTAAGCTACATTGATTGCGTCTATCGCAGCGAGTGCGTCGAGTCTACGCACCAAACGGAGCGGCCGCGCGTGGAATATCTTGTTCGTTTGCCGGCCCGCCTGCCTGCCTACTTGTGCGTGTGTACGGTGCATGTGTGTATTTCTGTATGTGTGTATGTGTGTATGTTTGCGTGCACTAGACAGCCAGCACACAGAGGAGACCAAACTGTCTCCGATAAAAGGTTGTCCCTAGTTGCATGCCATGCTCTCCCTCGGCCTCTCTTTCTCTTTGTCTCTCTCTTTATCCTACATACGCGCATCGGTGCGGCGGCATGGCAGTTCGGCAAGTGTGTGTGTGGTGGGGCCGGATGGGGCAGGGTGGGGCGGGGCGGGGCGGCGGAAGTATATAAGTGTGTCTATGGGTGCATTGGGAGGGGGAGAGGAGAGCCGGGCAGGCAGGCAGGCAGGCAGACTGTGGGGTGGTGGGTGTCAGTAAGTAGTCGTTGGACGTGCTTCGAGTGCGAAGGGTGTCTGTCAGTCAGTCGTGTCAGTCATGTGTGTAGAGGGTCGATGATACGATGATGGACAAGACAGACAAGGACACCCAAGCGACAGAGACGAGGAGAGCGATCAGATCCGCTCGAGGCACATTTTAATAATTAAGGCGGGTCTGCCTTGCACAGGCCCGCGTTCCCTCTCTCTGATGCCATGCCTCACCTCCTGTGGGTGGGGTGCCTGCCGGCTTGCGGACGGCTGACGGGTGGGTGACGGGACGGATGGTGAGTGGGTGTACCGTGTGTGTATGGTGTGTGGGTGCTGCTTACTCTCTCCCTGATTACTTACTTCTGTCTTTCGTGCCACTGCTCTCTCTCTTTCTATACGTGTGTGGGGGGGCGGGTCGGTGGTGGAGTGAGTGAATGGCTTGGGGGGATGGCATGGGATATATGGGACGGGTGGGGTGCGGTGCGGCCGTCCGACTGACTGCCTGGCTGTGGCACGCCTCGAGAGGCCCCACCGCACGCACAATTGACCACCATACGTACACACGCCCTCATCTAACCACTGCCCACATTTTTGGCACTAACTATGGCCTGACTGATGGATGGATGGCAGGCAGGATGGATTGAATGGACGAATCAATGCAGCGGCAAGGCGAGGCGGCAGGGGCATAAATGCGGCGGGAGGGAGGCCTCTTGGTTGGTTGGTCTGTCGGTCGGTCGGTCGGTCGGTCGGTGAGGCCCCTGGTCTGGTCTGACTCTCTCACTCACTCACATGAGTGACTCTCTCTCTTTGGTTGGTTGGTTGGTTGGTTGGTGATAGGCGGGCTAAAACGCCCGTGGCTTGGCTTGCGGTGTTTTTTATACAGTATTGAGTGCATGAATGAGTACGTGTGGGGGCGGGGGAAGTGGGTGGTGTGGCGGTAGCTCTGTCAACGTCGCGCCACGCCTGCAGCGCTGGATGGATGGATGTGTCTCGCCCCCTCCCTCCTTCTCCCTCCCCCTCCCTCCCTCCCTCCCTGCCAGCAAGCGACTACTACTAACTATGCGTCAAGCAATTTTGGCCCGCTAGTTCCTAACACACACAGAGAGAAAAGGATAATTCGTCGCTCCCCCTCAGGGCTCTTGGTTCGTTCGTCGATTGACAGACAGCTGCTGGCCCGCCCGCCTGCCTCCGTGCCTGCCTGCCCGTGTGTGTGTGTGTGTGTCTTCCTTCTGCCTCGCCTCGCTGCTGCTGTAGTGATTTTGGTCGGCTGGCGGTGCTGGTGCTGGTGGGGTGCTGCTGCTGACGATGGCTGCTGATGCATCCATCCATCCATCTGGGGGCCAAAGGGGCGGGACGGGGTGGTGGGGGGTTGTGGTGCGTGCCAATGAAATCAATGAGGGGTATACCTACCAAACAAACAAATGGATGGATGGATGTAGGCTGCGTACGTCTGTCTGTGTGCTTTTTTCGTGTGGAGGATATGATCGATTCGGTCAGTGCAGTAAGTGTCCCGCTCTCAGCTGACCTGCCTGCGATGACGTGGTGTGCACAGAATGGCTGGATGGATGGAGCGGGCGGCGGGGAGTGGAGTGAGAGGAGCACGTTTGTTTCTGTATGCGTGTTGTGTTGTATCTGATCGATTGCATGGCGTGTGTCGCGTGCGTGTGCGTGTGCGTGCGAGTGTGTCAAGTATATACTAGTTACCGCGTGTTCGCGGGCATGACATGAGTGGGGGCGGGGCGTTGGCGGCCTGGGCCAAGGAGGGAGCAGAGGAGCCCATCGGGCCGGACAGACAAGACAGACAGACAGAGAGCGAGCGAGACGGAAGGAGAGAGAGAGGAACCAGATGCCCTTCGTCTCCCCATTCGCACTCACACACCCATATACCTTATTGGTTCGCTCGCCACACACACACACACACACTCTATTGGTTCGTTTGTCGGTCTTGCGCAGTACGTCAGTATGTCAGTCCAGGGAGGGGAGGGGAGGGGGTGATTTGGTCGTGTCGGGTCTTCCAAATGAATCAATGAATGAAAGACTGAGTGGTTTGGTGGAGGGGTGAGTGAGCGAGCGGGCAATTCGCCATACTACGAGGCATGCAGGCAGGCAGGGAGGCTCTGATTGACGCAAGGAAGCAGATAAGGACACAGACAGAGAGGCAGGCATTTCAGATGATGAGTTGTGGGCCTGGTGGTGGGTGTGTCTCTCCTTCTACCACCTACCTACCTACCTGCGCGTGCTATTTGGAGTGAGTGTGTGTCGAAATGACATGACATGAGATATGGTGTGACGTGACTGATGTGGTGTGGCGATCGATTTAATTATCGATAGCTGGATGGCAAGGCATGGCCTGGCCAGACAGACAGACAGACAGCACTGACTGATGGATGGATGGATGGATGGATGTCCATATGCGTTGTTGCATTGCGTACTATCGCACTCTCAAGTCGCCGACCTTCAGTCAGTAAGTGAACACACCTTTCCAAATGAATGAAGATGTGTCCTCTCATCCCTCCATCCATCGGTCCACCCACCGTGCAGACAGACAACACGTATCTACATACGACGGATGGAATGATGAACAGCCACCGTCTATCTGGTCACCAACCAGCTCACAGAGGCTCCAGCCCGTCCTGCTGGGACATCCCAACATGGAACTTGAGCGACCCAAACACCGACCGCCTCTCTTTGCCCCCGCCGCCACCAACCCCACTCCTTGCAGGCCTTATCAGCCCCCCTGGCTCCACGCTCATCGACACACTACCCTCGTCAGCACCGCTGCGGCCGCCACTCGCTGCCACCGGGAGCTTGACAGAGGCGCACAGCATCACGCCGCGACACCGCAGGCCAACACCGACCCCCACACCTGTCATTGCGCGCTTCCCTTTGGCTGCAGACGTGGTCCCGCTGTCGTGGCCTGGCCTAATCGCGTCGAGCAGGTCAGTGACAGACGTATCACTCACCGCCGACCCATCCCTCCAGTCGACCCCCACTCCGGCATCGGCATGCGCAAAGACGTCGAGTGACAGCTTCTTTGCGAAAAGCGGGTTGCCCCCCTTCTCACGGGTTCCAGCTGGCGTTGCCGCACCGCCCCCATCGTCGGCATCATCGCGACGGCCCATTCGCCTGCGCACGAAGCGGATCGCATCTCGGTGGAAGGTGACGTGCGGCCGATTGACTTTCACGTCGATCGTCGTCGGCACACGCACCTCCGCGACGGCTCTCCCGCTCGCGTGGAAGGGCCCGAGAGCGTGGTAGCCGTGGCCCCTCACCGACCCGATGCCGCCCAGATAGAAGCGCTCCCAGGGAGGGAGCGGACCCGGAGTGACGCAGGGCCACGATTGAGTGTCGGTACACAGCTGTTCATCGGAGGGCTCCCCTGCTGCCGGCAGGTCCACCCCGACGATGCCTCCAACCTGCTGCCGGAAGACACCCATGGTCTTGGATAGATCCATGCCCATGCGCAGCACAACAGGCCACGAGCTGTTGTTGCTTGCGGGAGGGGGAGGGGGAGGGGGAGGGCGGGATGATGAAGCTTGTCGAGGGGGCAAGAGTGCCCCCAGCCGCAGGGTCTCAGTGCTGGTGAGATCCAGCCTCAAGAAGCTTCGAAGAGGGCGGTCATGGTCAACTTGGCAGCTCGTCTGGCCGAGAGGCGGGCTGTAGTCGTGGAGACCGACTGCAGTCGACAGCTTCGCTTGGCCTGTCGTCTGCAGGGCGGCAGCCAGCTCCTGAAAGGCAGACGGGACACACAGATGCATATCATGTGACGGCATTTCTGGCTGGTTACCTTCAGTGGCGTCAGGTAGGTGAGGCTGGTCTTGGCCTCAGTCGTCATGCGGCTCCCGAACTTCTCACGCAGCATGGCTACGAAATCGCTGGAATGCGGTTGCGAGGCACATGGTTTCGGCGCCTGTATCCCACCCGACTCGCAGATGCGCCGCCTCTGCTGCAGCTCCAGCCCTAGCACCGTCTGTCCCCATCGCTTCGGACCTGTGAGCCACTCAAGATTGCCGCCAATCAGCGCAGAGGCCTGCTCCTGGCTCTTCTTGTCTCCAGATGACTCGGCCACCGAGCCATCGAGCTGGACGTAGGCATTGCCTTTGAAGCCGCGGCCATCAGCAAATGAGAAAACATTGTCTAGGAAGCGCAGATTGACCGAGAAGATCGACGGCCCGCCCCCTGCCGCCTGTCCACCAGTCCCCTCACTCTCGTCGCCAGTGCCGCTGCGATCTTCCTCCTGACTTGGCCGCTGCTTCAGCAGTCGCGGAGACCGCCGGATGTCTACCCCCACCTCCTTGCCACGCCCCAGGAAGTTACGATCTTTGAATGACACCTCCCCCAGCCAGTCGTCCTTGAGATTGTCCACAGTAAACGAGATGCCGGGCTCTATAGACCGACTGGGTCGCTCAGCTGCCCTCAGCAGCAGCTGGATGTTGGGCACAGGGCTGCCGGTTTGGTTGAGCGCTACGGCCGCGAGGGACGTGTTGCTGAGGGGCTCGAAGATGCCCGACTTGTCGATGCTGCGCCACCTGCCTCTCACGACACGGAAGGGCTTGCCGGGCTGCAAACCGATGACGTTGGTCAGGGAGTCTGCCTTCGTCCTGAACGCTCGCGGCGCAGCAGGAGGGCCTGTGTTTGACGCACGCGGGATCGCTTCATGAACAAGCCTCAAGGGTGGGTCGGCAGAGCGGTAGACCTGACAGGGGATGGCGATCCTGCAGCCGTATCGTGACTCTGACTCAGCCTTGCCCCCCTGCCCTCTGCGGCTGCTGACACACCTGGACCACCACTCGCGGATGCGGCCCTTCTCGTTGGGCGTGATGATGGCATGCTCCAGCCGAAGGGGATACACCGCATAGCCGTGACGCTGTAAAGCCTCCTGGAGGGACAGCACGCACCTGAGTAGAGCAGGGTCATCTGCATCGGCCATCAAGGAGTAAGAGCGTTCGGCAAGGTGGTCTGGCGGCGGCAGACGTCCCTTTAGCAGCCGAACGACGAATCGACGAGGGCTTGAAGCGAAGAGGCTCCTCAGCGACTTCCTTCGCTTAAGCATGCCTTGCAGCACAGGGCGGTGGCGCTTCAGGCCTGCATCTTGGCGGGCTTGCCTCAGCTCCCTGCCGCTCAGGAGCTCCAGTGGCTCCATCTTCTGGTCAAGCACGTCCACAAGGACGACATCATCGACAGACAGCGGCTCCCCTGCCGACTCTCGAGTGTACACAATCTCGTAATCCTCGTCGTCTGCATCATAACCAATCGTCCGGTTGACAGCAGCAGCCACCGGGAGGAACGGCGGCGTGGATGAGTAGCTGGCGTCGTGGCTCTCGCCGCCTGGCGGAAGCGGAGGTTGGCTGACGCGGGACAATCCGAGGTCTTGGTCTTGCGAGATGGCTCTCGGAAGACCAAGAGCTCTTGGTCTCGCGAGGCTGCAGAGCCGGTGCCGCTGCAGAGGGACGCGGAAGGCCACGGCGAAGATGTGGGACGAGAGCACCGCCAGGCCGATGAGAGCATTCCTCCGTTCAGATCCCATAATGGTGGCCGAGCGCATGCCTGCTCACTAGGCTGCTCACCATGGGCTGCTCATTCCATGGTCAGAAGTCTGACGAATGAGAAACAAACGTGCCTGAATCCGTGCCTGACAACTCATGACACAGAGATCTGGGCTCTACTCCTTGCGATACTGCTCCAATCCTTGCCACGCAAGCTTCAGCTTGCGATCCATTGTCGGCTGAGCTCGCACTGCAGGTAGGTGGTCGCCCGTGTCCTTCCGGCAATACGCGCTTTTTGCGGACCCTGCCCTGGAGGATGCGTCATTGCTGTTGATCTTGGGCATTCGACGATTTTTCGACAGCTGCGATGGCTGGACAAGGATGGGTCGGTCTGTCCCTCGTCGTTTGCACTGGGTGGATGTCGAGCAGAGGAGCAAGGGCAGACGATGGCGTGTTATTGAGGGCAGAAGGAGCTGCTCTCCCGCGTCAAATGCCTTCTGGTGCATCGTTCGTCAACTCCGTTCTACGTTCAGGACATGCTGTCACGTCGCTGTCGAGGCCTCCACGGCTCTCAAGAATACCGAGACCGATGGCGCCCTCGGGCGATGCAATGGATCTGCAAAGCAGATGGAGGGGAAGGGGTCCTCTGCGGCTGACAATGTCAGCGTCGCCCTCCGACGAGGGGGCGCAGAGGAAGGTCAACGCTCAACCAATGGAGCCAAGGGAGCACAGCCCAGCTGCCGCTCCTGCGAGTCAAGTGGAGACCAAGCGCAGCGGGGAATCTGAGGTGAGCACCGAGGACGCAACAGTCACGGCGGATTGCTCGGCGTCATGCCTTTCGTTCGTGTATGTTTTGTGTGTCATTCATTACTCAGGAGCTTGAGGCGCTTGTACAGTCGTACGGGAGAGGTGCGTGTGCGTGTTGCCTGCAGAGCTGTCACTGTGCTCTTCTCACTTGCGGTTTGCTGCCTCTCGCTCGTCGCAGGCAACGTTCCTGGAAGCACCTTGGTGGCTGGGGAAGCCGATGCAGGCGAGATACAGGCAGCTGTCCGCAACCTGTCGCTCTACGTGCTGGCTGCAGTCCTCTTCGGCGCAGGTAGAGCGGCGCTTTCCATCATCTTTCCTGCCGTTATGTGTGACTGTGGGTCTGTCTGGTTCGGTCATGTAGGCGTCTTTGTGTTCAAATCTCCGGAAGCTGGTCTCGAGTTCTTTGCTGCCTACCTTACTGAGTACAGGTGTGTATGTTCGGCCGTATGTCCATCTCTCCGCCACACCACACTACTCTGCCTGTGTGCCGGTGTGTGATGGACGTTGCGTTGCGTGTCCGAATGCAGCCTGTCTGTGGATAATCTCTTTGTCTTTCTCATCATCTTCAAGTCAGTGACGTGACACGCAACCTGGCGAATGCGTCCCGTCGGTCTCATCCATGTGTGTCGTCAGTTACTTCAAGGTGCCCCTGTCGAGTCAACCGAGAGTGCTGAACTGGGGGTTTCTAACCGCAGCTGTCCTGAGGTACACATGTACCGCAGCCGGTCGATTTGGACGCATATATCTGTCCGTTGTGTTTGTGTTGTGTTTGTGTCGTGTACAGGTTTACTTTTCTGTTTGTCGGCACTGAGCTCCTGGAAAGGTTCAGGCCGCTGTTCCTGGTGTTTGCCGCTGTCCTGCTGTGGAATAGCGCTTCAGTGAGCGTGCCAGCCAGCCAGGCAGCTATAGGCAGCCAGCCAGCGAGCCGGCGAGCTGACGCCGATGACGGCAACATCTGTGACTGTGTGCGTGTCCAGACGCTCTTGCCTTACTTCGGCGTCGGTGAGAAGGACGAGGACGACAACGAGGACCTCGCTGACAACCAGGTGATGCTCGCACCCACCACACGACACACATGTGGGAATTCCATTCATCTGCTTGTGCGTGTGTGTGCAGATTGTCAAGTTCGTCAAGCGGTTCATGAGCTTTAGCGACCATTACGACGGCGAGAAGTTCTTCACTGAGATCGAGGTGAGACCCGATCCCACGAAGCTGGTCGGTGTGTGCGCAGTGTTGTGTTGTGTTGTGTCACTGACAGGAGAAAGATCCATCGACGGGCAACATGGTGCTGAAGACTGTGGCCACGCCGCTGTTCCTCACTTTGTGTGTGATCGAGCTGTCGGACATCGTCTTCGCCACGGACTCAGTGCCCGCAGTCCTGGGAATCACACAGGTAGCAACGAATGAATCGCTACAAACGCGCAAATGGATCCGCTGTGTGTGTCACCTGTCGTCTCCCTCCCTCCCTCCCTCCCTGTGTGTGTGTGTGTGTATGTCAGGACGTGCTCGTGTCATACAGCTCGAACCTGTTCGCCATCCTGGGCCTCCGTTCGCTGTACTTTTTGCTGGCTGAGGGTCTGGCGTCGCTGCAGTACCTGGAGCCGGCCATCGGTCTGGTGCTGGGGTTCATCGGAGGGAAGATATGCCTCGACTTCGGTGGCTTCAAAATCCCTACCGCAGCTGAGCTGGCTGTGGTAACGTCGCTGCTGGGGAGCGGCGTGGGGCTGAGCCTCTGGCTGCCGAGCGACAGCAACGGAGAGGAGCAGAGGGGTGGCAAGGATGAGGAGGTATCGGCGTCGATTGAGGGTGGCGGTGGGGTGGTCAAGGTTGTGAATGAAGCTTCCCAAGTGACACAAGATGTGACACAAGCAGGGGCCCCTCACGAAGGTGGCGCAGGAGACCAGCCTGTGCCACGCAGAGGGCTTCGTGTCGATAATGAAGGGAGGCGCTGAGTGAGCGAGCTCAATGACGGATTTTCCGTGTGTCCGGGTTTGTGTTTGATTGACGATCAATCACCGTGTGCACACTTTCGATGAGTGCATTCGCTCGATGTTCCATCCATCCCCTCATACACACACTGGCAATCACACATGCACGGACCCTCATCAATCGCTTTGTTGACAGCACATGCATGCAGCCATCCTTCCATCTCTCGACGCACGGCCTCCATCTCCATAGCGAGTCGAGTCAATATATTAGTGAGACTCGTCCATTCGGATCTAGTCTGAGCGAGTGACTGCACGTGTACATACATGTGTGTACAGACAGACAGACAGACAGACAGCGACACACAAAGATCGACAAATCAAGCATCGGCTGATCGAGTGCTGTGTTTCACATCATCTGACCCAGTCGAGCAAGCACGATGATGACGACACCAGTCCTTGTGTCGGTGTTGATTGCCGTGACGATGTGTGTGTCGGTGTGCAACGCTGGCTGCTCGCCGGAGGTGTGCAAGCGCTGCTGTGCCGCCACGCCCTCCTGCTGCACCAACGGTGAGAACGCACACACTCGGACAGACAGACAGGCATCATCCATCCATCAGGTGTGTGTCTGTGTCTCGTGTGTGTGTGTTGTGAAGCGTTTGATGAAGAGTCTCACGGGAGGCTGGTGACTGACTACTCGTTCTGCCAGGACTGCGACTGCGACGACCCGTCGATTGGCTGCGGATGGCTCGCATACGGATTCGGGTAAATAAATGGCCAGACAGACAGACAGACAGACGATCAGAGACACGAATGACTGACGCTCTGCACTCCACGCATTACCGTGCTGCTTCGTCTCGCTGGATGGCCGGATGGGTGGGTGAGTGCAGACGCGTCGAGTGCACGTCGTGCTCATACCTGCTGATGCTCGAGCAGGCAATCCAGGGCGCCGAAAT